AAACCTGCCAGCCTCTGCCCTACCTTTCTCTGCCCCAAATGTCTTCCACTGGGCCTTCCTGCTGAAGTGCCTTCCACCCCCCCACCCCACCCCTAGCACTTGGCTGCTGTTGAGGAGAGAAAAATCAAGTCTCTGGTGGCCCTGCTGGTGGAGACCCAGATGAAAAAGCTGGAGATCAAACTCCGGCACTTTGAGGAACTGGAGACGATCATGGATCGGGAGCGAGAAGCAGTGAGTAATGTCTCCTTGGGGGTCAGCAGAGCCCAGGGACTCCCACCTTGACACTGAGCTGTCCCTCAGTTGAGGATAGGGCAGCAGGGCAGGGGGAGCAGCAGGGCAGAAAGCCTGAAACAGACAAAGCCTTGAAGCAAGAGTGGAGCAGCAGCCCAAGCCAGGGCAGGAGGACCCAGCCCTAGGCAGTTAAGGACAAGTGGCCCGCAAGTGAACCCTGGAGACTGAGGTCCCACAGAATATCAGCTCCTCCATGGGGCAGAGATCCTAGTATGTTTTTTATTGCTGCATCTCCAGGTACTGGAACAGTGCTTGGCCCTTAGTAAACTCTCAATAAATATTTGTTGAGTAATCGAACAGATTTAAGGCATGATGGGAAGGTAGAGACTTCATATCCAGGAAATGAACTTGGAAAGGGGATGGGATGGACAAAGTGTGGACCACTTTGTCTTTGAGAAGTTGTAAAAAAAAAAAGAAGACAGGCCCTGCCCACAGAGAAATTAGAGTTTAATTAGAGATATTAAATATACACAACATGGAGACATCAAAAACAGTTAATGCTTAAAGTATCTGACAAATTCATATTTAAGAGACTTCAAATCAAGAATATAAGTCCCGAGGAGATAGAATAAAGGCCAAAAGCTGAGAGGCTAGTGAGTTGACCTGGGATGGCTCCCTAAGAATGGTGAGTTTTTAGCCAATTTTTAAGGAAGAACATGAATTGACAAGAGAACTGAAAGGGTTTTCCAAATTAATGACAAGTACAAAGCTTTGGAGCTGAAATAAACAGATTAACACCATTGCGATGAGAAGCCATGTGGGCAGCCAGAAGATGGGGGTAGGGGGAGAGGATGCCCAAGCACTGATTTAGATTTGATGGGAACGGCCAGAATGAGAGGCTGGGTTTGTCCGAAGACAAAGCAGGGGGCAAGGTGTTTGCTTTTGGGATCTTCTTAACACTGGTAACAGTACTCAATTGGCACCGGCAGCTGGAGTATCAGAGACAGCAGCTCCTGGCCGACAGACAAGCCTTCCATATGGAGCAGCTGAAGTATGCAGAGATGAGAGCTCGGCAGCAGCACTTTCAACAAATGCACCAACAGCAGCAGCAGCCACCACCAGCCCTGCCCCCAGGCTCCCAGCCTATCCCACCTACAGGCGCTGCTGGGCCACCCACGGTTCATGGCTTGGCTATGGCTCCAGCTTCTGTGGCATCTGCTCCTGCTGGCAGTGGGGCCCCTCCTGGAAGCTTGGGCCCCTCTGAACAGATTGGGCAGACAGGGTCAACTGCAGGGCCACAGCAGCAGCAGCAACCAGTCGGAGCCCCCCAACCTGGGGCAGTCCCACCAGGGGTACCACCCCCTGGACCCCATGGTAAGTGATGGCTTCTTGAACTCTTGCTGGGCAGAGGGATCCTGGAGAACATTCCAGGTCCCCTTGAGGGGATACCTGATAGGACTGGAGATAGAATTGGCCTCAGTTTCTACTGCTGGGCCCACTTCTGTTATATCCCTAAGCCAGCAAGGATCTCTCCCCAAATCCAGATCTTTGGAATTTTGCTCCAAGGATTTATGACTAATTCTAGTGTCAGGAAAAGGGAAGGTGGTGCCTAGGAGTAGCTAGATTATCCTCTATAAAAGTGAGTTGATAAGTGAAATTTTCTGCCTCTAACTTCTGGATCTCTCCTCTTTATTCTCAGGCCCCTCACCGTTCCCCAACCAACAAACTCCTCCCTCAATGATGCCAGGGGCAGTGCCAGGCAGCGGGCACCCAGGCGTGGCGGGTAATGCTCCTTTGGGTTTGCCTTTTGGCATGCCGCCTCCTCCTCCTCCTGCTCCATCCATCATCCCATTTAGTAGCCTAGCTGACTCCATCAGTATTAACCTTCCCCCTCCTCCTAACCTGCATGGGCATCACCACCATCTCCCGTTCGCCCCGGGCACTCTCCCCCCACCTAACCTGCCTGTGTCCATGGCGAACCCTCTACATCCTAACCTGCCGGCGACCACCACCATGCCATCTTCCTTGCCTCTCGGGCCGGGGCTCGGATCCGCCGCAGCCCAGAGCCCTGCCATTGTGGCAGCTGTTCAGGGCAACCTCCTGCCCAGTGCCAGCCCACTGCCAGGTGAGAAGGGTCCTGGAGGGGAGAAGGGTGAGGGAGAGGGGTCCACATGGAGGGATGGAGGGCAAGTGGGAAAGGACTCAGGTACTTTTTGAGCGCTCTGATAAAATTAGAATACAGGAGGAAGGGCCTCTCTGGCTGTCCTCCACCATTCCCCAGCCTGGCTGCTGCCACCTCTGGGATGACGTTGGGGCCTTTCACTGATGGGTCATGGAGGAGTCCTGTGGCACAGAGCATCTCAGCTGTAAACTTGAAAAACAGCTACCTGATTGCATGACAATTGGCATCCCCTTTGCTTGTCCCCATCACGCTCAAATGCCCCATTTAGAGTTCCCTTGGGGGCAGGAGGATGATTTAGGGTCTATCAGTTTTCCCAGTGTGAGGTGGGAGAGGTTATTGGGAAAAGGAAGTTGTATATTGTGGGTACCTCATTCATCTACCCACCCATTGCATGCCTTGCCCAGTTCTGTTTGTCCATGGCGGCCTAGGTCGGGAGCCCTCTCTCCTGCTCACCCTAGCTGATTCATCTTCCCTTTCTCCACAGACCCAGGCACTCCCCTGCCTCCAGACCCCACAGTCCCGAGCCCAGGCACAGTCACCCCTGTGCCACCTCCACAGTGAGGAGCCAGCCAGACATCTCTCTCCCTCACCCCCCCATGGAGATCAAGGTTCCAGGAACAGCCCTCCCCCCACCACTGGGACCCTTCCCCAGCCTGGAGAGTTCATCACTACGTAAGGAAAGCTCTTCCTGCCCCCTTCAAAGCCCCTACCATGCCTGTCAGGGGCATGCATTTTTATATCGGATTATTCAAGGAAGGACTTCTGTTTAAAAGATCTTTCTAATGTCTGGGAGAGAGGATAGGATGGGGATGCTGCCCTCAAAGGAAGGGCTGGGGGAAGGTGTTTATACAAGGTTCTAACCACTTCTAAGGGTACACCCCCTCAAAACGACTGCATTTTTTATGGATAAAAAAAATTAAGACCTTTTACAGGAAATAGATTTTTTTAAAAGCTGCATTGGAGCTCCCTCCACCCACTAAAAGAAAAAGTCCAACTTTTACATTTCTTGGAGGAGGGAGGTGACCGTTTTAGGAAAGGGGAATTAATGTTCTGGAGAGAACTCTGGTGATAGTATAGGGTGCAGAACCTGTCTCCAGCCCCTCCTTAGTGACTAAGTCAACTCAGAACCCCCTCAACCACCCTACCCCGTTTATTCTTACTAATCTCTCCTGCTGCTTCCTCAGTGTTGCTGTTTTAGGCCACCCCAGCTCAGCCAATGACCCCATTCCCTCTGAATGTCAGTTTTGTGTTTTTAAGTCACCAATGTAGTTGATATCAGCGTAATGTATTTGGTGGGGAAACACATTTTTGGAGATTCCTGTGGTAGATAATAGAGGACAGGGCATTTGGGACTCTTCTTCCTCCCTGGGCTCTATCAATGGGGTCCTAGAAGACATGGAGAGGGCAGCTAGAAGATGGAAAGTTTAAAAAACCTGTTAAGCACCTCCTTCTTATGACTCAGTGGATCATCCCCATAACTTACTCTTCCCTCCTCCACCAAGACCGTCAGAACCTTGACTGGTAGCTAGGGGTTCCCTGGGATTTGGAGGCAGTCAGGGTGGGGGTGCCCAACCTAGGGTACTGCTGACCCCCAGCTTGCAGCTCAGCTCAGCTCCCGATTCCAGTGCCTCACATACCAGCTTTCCCTCTTCATCCTTGATGTGAAGGCAAATGTGATTCCAGGCTCTCCATCAGTCCCTAGTCCCTCCCCCACCAGGCCCTTTGTTCCTTATGTCCCCATGTTTCTTTTCCTCTGCGTCTTGGCACCTTCCTTCTGTTCAAAAGTTTTCTGTAAATTTTCTCTTTTTTCTTTCTTTTTCTTTTTTATAAATTAATTTGCTTTCAGTTTTATCTTGTGGATGCCTTCTGTGTTCTCTGACTTGTGGCTGTCAGGTAGTGGGGTCGGGCTGGGGGCATCATTCCTGGAGTTCTTCCCAGGGGCATTCAATTAGGCCAGAGAGGCAGTCAGCCCAGATACTGAGCCTCTCTCTGACAGCTAAAGGCAGCACAGCTATCAGAACTGTGCATTGGTGCAGGAGCTGGGCAGAGGTTCTCATCTGCCCCAAAAATAGCTGTGTAAGGCTTGAAAGGACATCCTCACAACCTGGAGATTTTGTTTATCCTTTCAGAAGTAGTGGCTCATTTCTTCCCTTATTAGGTGGGGAGAATGCAGGCATCTCACCTACTTCTGTAATTATTGGCCCCTAGCCCTGCTGGGGTGACAGGCTCTGGCAGTGCTAATATGCCCTGGCTTTAACTCCAATAAACAGTCTCCAGGCCTCCGCCACAAAAGGTCTGCAGTGCTTGGGAGGATCAGGGCTGGGTTAAGGAGCTGGAGTGCTAGGCGAGGAGTCAGCCTGGTGTGGCCTAGAACAAGGCTGGCCAGCCTTGGTCCTACAGAGATTTATGGCTTTCCTCATCCCGCAAGGGGTAGCCTTTGAAGCATCAGTGGATGGGGTCAGCATTTCTTCAATGAGGCAAAGATGGCTCCTACAGGCCCTTCCCCAGCTTTCCCCTGTCCCTGGTCCACTAACTCTGGGCTCTCTCTTGCCCCTTCACCCTGCTCAGGAAGGAAAGCAGAACCACATTTAGGGCACAGAGAGTGAGTTTATTTGGTGAATGCTGATGGCAAACATCATCCAAGAGATACAAGCTGGGAAAAGTGCTGTGACAAGAGAACCTACGAAGCCTTTGGGGCTAATACACAGTCTCACACAGGGGAAGGCACAAGGCTCTGGGCACACTGGGAATGTCTTCAGCCATTCAGCACCATGCGGACGAGCTCTGTGGAAAGAAGAGAGGTGTAAACCAGGAAGCAGGGCCAAGGGGAGGGGTCCACCAGGGGCCAGGAGACCATGAGACCACAAAGGTGGCATAAGAAGGGACGTGCCCACAGCAACCAACCTTGAGGTCAGTTTGCAGAGGAGTCACCTTGAGTCTCACCAGTTCTCTTGGTCCCCAGCTCCCCTCCCATCAGCTGTTAGTTCCCCAGCCCACCGTGAGCAGCAAGAACACAGCAGAGGCAGAAAAGTTCTTAACTACACCTAAAGCTACTGTCAGCCATTGGCAGGAGGAGAAGACAGAGTTTTGGGTTAGGGTACCTCCAAGCTGCCCAGCAGAAGAAAGGGGAAGAGACTGTTAAGCTACAGCAAAACAATGGGGCAGGCAACCCACCCCCTATGCCAACCGCCAGTGCTCCAGGGCTAAAGGATCACCCTAAAGCAAGACGGGGATAGGCTGGTGACAGTTCCCAGACACCAGCACCCAGGGCCCTATAAATAAAACTTCAGAGCCCATTCTAGGAGAGGAGGTACCATACCCCCAGGCTGTCTTCCTCTTCGAGGACCGCCTCCCCTCCCCTCCCTTCCCCTCCCCAGTCAGTTCCATGCAGAAACATGCCAGAAGTCAGATGGTAGTAGGGGTAGGGCAGGGGACAGAGAGCAAAGGTTGGGAAGAAAAACACTGGGGGGGTCAACTAGAGAAGGGGAGGCTGGGAGGAGCCGTACCCGCCCCACGGGCCCGTCACCCCGACAGGATATGCCTCACAAATGCTGCAGGAAGGAAGAGACATTAATGGTGAAGACAAGACACACATGGGATGAAGGGGTCAGGCAGTGGGGACATAGACATTCCATTCATTTTACTTCCCATTCCTTCCCCACCCTTCACACCATATTGCCCCTTCCTTTCTTGTCATATACCCCTGGCCTCCCACTCCTGGGCTGGGCGGGGCCCTGCCTCTTGCCTTCTGGCACTTTTTTGAGCCCAAGTCCAGGTATAAGGAAAGCCCCAGACTGTACTTGACCTGCCCCATATGGCTCCTTCCTCCACGAGAGCCCCAATTCGTCACTCACCTTCATAGTTGATACAACCATTGCTGTCCTCATGCCCTGCCACCAGCATCTCTACTTCTTCCTCTGTCATCTTCTCACCTGCAGAGGGAAAGAAAGCATTTTGGACACTGAGTGACAGGTGAAGGATCAGGTGGCACTTCTGCTCAATGAGCAAGGGTAGAGCCTTACCCAGTGTGACAAGAACATGTCGGATCTCAGCACCCATGACAGTGCCGTTCCCTTCCTTGTCAAACACCCTAAGGCCTTCAACATAGTCCTCATAAGTGCCCTGGTCCTTGTTCTTGGCCACAGTCTGCAGCATGGGCAGGAAGTGCTCAAAGTCCAACACCTTCACATTCATCTCTGCCATAAAGGAGGCAAAAGGAAAGTCACACAAGTTCTCAGAACTGAGGGGATTACAGGGATCACAACCAAACAGACTGCTCCCACTCAAAGCAGAAGAAATCCATAGAGTTTGCTACTTGAGACAAGACCTGCTTGAGTTTGGGGCCTATGAAGATAAAGGAAACTCTTAGCTGAAGAACCGTGGGCACACTACTGCACTGAGGAGTTCTTGGGGACCCTCACCATCACTCTTGGGGTTTCCCAAGACTTTGAGCACCTCGGCGTTGGTGGGGTTCTGGCCCAGGGCCCTCATCACGTCCCCACACTGGCTGTACAGGATCTTGCCATCCCCTGTTCGGTCAAACAACTGGAAGGCCTCCTTGAATTCTGAGGATTCAGATAAACATCAGCACTGGGCACATGCGGTTAACCCAAACCCTCATGGTGTCCATTGCCCATTCAACTTTAATCATGCTGAGGAAACCAGATATTTATTCTACTGTACACCCAAGTCCTCTAAGAGGGACCCAGTGTCCATCCCTCCCAACTCAGGTGTCCCACATAAAGACACAGCCTTCCTCCCCTCTAAGCACAGTAGTAACATCCACTTACACACCCCATCCGCCAGCGGCAAGCCGGCCCAGCCTCCTCACTACACTACTCAGGGCAGGAATTTGCCACCGCCCTGTCTGGGTCCTGTCCTTATAAGGAAGTGGGAGCAGCAGCCTGGGACTGGGGTCAACCCAGCCTGCCACTTCCCACCCCTCCCCTTCAGCAAAAGTATCCTCAGCAGACCCCCCTCCCCACTTTTACAAAATACCAGGTCATTGCTTTTTAGTCTTCACAATTCCAAGCTGGGGGAGGGGGAGAATTGTCACAGAAGGAGAGAAGAGGCAGAAGAAGCTCATTAAGGGATGGAGGCGCACAGGCAGCTTCAGACACTCTCCCCAAGCCCCACACACAGCAGGCATTAGGTGACCAAGTTGTTTCACATACCCACACCACCTAAAACTCTCCCAGTGCTTGGGGCTCAGATCTAGAGTGGAAGGAGAGGGAGGAAGAAAGAGTGAGAAAAGAAAATGGAGGCTCCAGAAGGAGACAGAGGAAATCCAGGAGGTACCCCCCTGGGGGTTCTGAAGAGGTGACAGGTTGGGGGGTAGGTGGGGGGGTGTGTCTCCCTAAGTGTGACCTTAGTAGGGGTCAGTTACCTACCTGCGGTCTGGTCCTCGGTGAAGTCACACTGCTCAGAGAAGAGGGGAGTGGTCAACATCTGAACTCCAGTCCCCCAAGCTTCTATCCCAGTCCCACAAGCTCAACCACAAACTCCTGTTCCGTGCAGGGGATTCGCTCGCTTCCCAGCAGGACAAGACCCCAAACTTTCCAACCCCAACTCTAATCTTCCAGGCCCTCAGGTTCACTTTGCCCCCTACCTCTGCCTTCTCCACACCCCCTACCCCTCCGGCTTCCCGCCTCTCGCCCCAAATCCCGCTCATCCTCCCAGGCCCCGTTCCCCACCATCTTGGCCGCTGAGCTCTGCGGGACCTTTTCCTGCAGTAATGGCTCCGGCTCCCGGCCCAACCCTAGTCTTAGGACGTCCCAATGACGTCACCCTAAGCGGACCCAGCCAATAGGATTCCTGCCTGGGCTTATGCAGATGAGTTGCTACATTAGTAATGAAGGAGCGGGCCTGCCGCAGTTCAGTTCTCCAGAGCCTTACCTGCGACACCGAAACGCACCGGGGGATGGAATGGGGAGGGGCGCAAGGAATCTGCTCCGATCAGAGGATAACGGATTGGGAGAGGAGAGCCCCCGTTTCCCTCCCTTCCACCCCGACCTCTGAAGAAAGCAACAGTCGGAGGCCAAGGGAGGAACCATCTCTTTATTTTGAAACAATAGGTGGCCTCCTAGTGGTAGGAACGTGCTTCCGCCTGCGGGAGGCTCAGTGTCCGACCTCGGCATCTGTGGAAAAAGATGAAAAGTTGCCAAACCCGGGTGCTCACACGCAGCAGAACATGAAAACGCGCTTCCCGCTTTTCTACCCTGGTGGAGGGATTGGAAGGAGACTAGTCTCTCAAGGCGAGTGGAAGAGCCCTACCTGTGGAGCTCAAACGCTTAGGATGTGCTTCAAGAAGGCTGCAGAGAGAGGAGGCAAGAGGGGCTTCAGAAGCAGGCACTTAGATGATCCATCTGACTTTAGATAATCCAGGCCCCGGGGTTCTCCTCCTCCTCTGCCCCTTCTGCTCCTCGACCCCCTCACCTTCATAGTTGATGCAGCCATTGCTGTCTTCATGTCCTGCCAGAACAGTCTCCACTTCCTCTTCAGTCATCTTCTCTCCTGAGCCCCAGCCAGACACAACATTTTAGCCTCTGTCTTCCCTCCCTCACCAACCAGTGCACGCTATTCCGCTATTGCGTGTGGTACCTCCTCTTCTCCCACCCTGTAGATTTGCCCATAGCAACAGAACTTCAAAGCAATCTTTTCCTTGTAATGGTTATGCCTTGAACGTGTTTCTGCATCTTGCCATCCATTTCACCTGCATTAGCACCAGGTGAAAGCTTTGACAATGAAACTAAATTCCAGAGAGTTAAAAGAAAGTACCAGATCACAGAGCACCAGCATCTCTTCCAAAATGGAAACTCGAGTCTCCCACCTCTTCCCCTTTCCTCTGCCCTTTGGGAGGCATCTGTGCCCTCTCTCACTTTAGCCTCTGCAAGAGGAAGCCCTTCAGATTCTGGCCCCACTGCTCTGACCTTCTCAGTCTCCTGCCCATGACCTACAGGACAGTAATCCCTCCCTGGCCCTTCCTACTTGGCAACCTTCTTTTTGGTCCACCCTCTTCTCTCCACTCCACAGGAGTTCTGGTCTGTGCCTCACCCAGGGTGGTGAGGACATGTCTGAGCTCTGCTCCCATGACTTTGCCGTTCCCTTCTTTGTCAAACACCCGAAGCCCCTCCAGGTAGTCCTCATATGTGCCTTGGTCTCGGTTCTTGGACACGGCCTGGAGCATGGGCAGGAAAGTCTCGAAGTCCACACGCCGGGACTTTAGCTCTGAAGGTTTGAGAGGTGAGGGAGAGGTCACTGTGCTGTCACCTAGGACCCAGCTCCCATCCCAACCATGAAGGCTTTCATCCTGTTCAACATTCAGGATGCTTTTCTACCCTTGGGTTTGACAGTTTTTGAAGTCATGAGACCCACCCTGGAATCCTTTGTCACCTTACCAACATTCCTCAGTTCCACCACCAAACTGAAAACCCTCATTGTTCCAGGGGCGCCCTCACCATCACTCTTGGGGTTCCCCAGAACCTTGAGCACCTCGGCGTTGGTAGGGTTCTGGCCCAGGGCCCTCATCACATCCCCACACTGGCTGTACAGGATCTTGCCATCCCCTACTCGGTCAAACAGCTCAAAGGCCTCCTTGAACTCTGAAGTATAAAGAGGTACCAGTGTTGACCAGAGTTTCCCATTACCCTCAGACAGAAAGGAAGTTCAGAAACCATGTGTTAGAGCTGGGCAGAACAGGGGACACATAGGACTAGTGTGGGAGGTTTCAAGGTTGGGACTGGATTTAGGGGAATTGAAAGAGAATCTGACCAGGGGCTTGGGTCTGGACAGTGGGCTCAGGAGACCAACTTTTCCTTACCCTCCAGCTGGTCCTTGTTAAACTGGATCTGTGGAAGAAAAGAGCAGGTGAGGAGGGATGACGAGGCTCGTTCCATCCCTCTGTAGCACTCCTCCCAACCAACTGCCAGCCACTTCTGGGGAGGGGCCCAAAGAGACCAGGCTGGGAGCCCAGCCACCTCAGTCCCATTCCCAGATCTGGACCTTGGGAGAATCCCAAGAGAAGGAATTATCAGGGGGGAGGGTTTCCTGGGAACAGGGTTAATCCCATGCCACCTGTTCCCCTCCCTCCACTGCCCTGAGCCCTGCATCCCTCACATAACTGGGGGCTGAACAAAAGCTAAATTTACTCCTGGCCCCCAGCTGTGATTGTCTAACAAGTCTGTCCTCTTTAGCCTTCCCTCCTGGGGTTCAGAGATGTGGCCTTTAGAGTTGAACAGTCAGCCAAGTACAGGCAGTAGCTCCCTCCCTTCACCTTGAAACTGTCCTGGGAACCCAGATGTTCCCCATCTCCCAGTCCCTGCCTCCAGCAGGGAAGTCAGTGAGTGAGTGTCTGTGTATGTGTATATATACACACATGTGTTACAGGTTAGAGGAGAGAACAACAAAGATACTAGCAGAGTCATAAGCCTGGTTGCTTCCAAATGAGGGACCAAGAGGAACCCCCAATATCAGTTCAGTGCTCACTGATTCCTACCTTCTAGATACCTCCTAATTCCCTAGGCTGTATCCCACCCTTGTACCACTCCCTCCAAATTCTTTCTCCACTTTCCGGGGACTCACCACCACTTTGGAGAGATCAATGGGGGGCTCCCATGTTTTCTCAGAGGCTGAAGGGACTGCTGCTGGCTCAGTCTTGGTCTTGGCTGTAGGGGCCCCTGCTGCTGGCTTGGTAGCAGGCTTGGGGATAGAGGGCCCTGCTGGTTTCTTCACAGGAACATCTTTCTTGGGAGGCATGATGTCCGGTGGCCAAAGGACAGTGTGCCGATGGGGGCACCCATCTCTGTTTAAATAGCCAGGGAGTCTGGGATGTTAAGGGGCGGGAGCAGAGGCAGGGAGCCAGTTGGCGGTGGGGAGGGTGAGAAAGAGGAGAGATATGCCGGCCTGCTCTCACTCCCCTGGCCTCCTATGGTTCAGGACTCCTGCCCCAAGGTCTTCTCCTTTCTGTCTACCCTGCCCCAAAGGCTGGTCAGAACAATGGCCCCTTTGGGGGCAAGGGAAAAAAGCTAGAGACTGCCCAGAATGGGGGAATTAACCTCCTGGGTGAGGGCAAGATGCATGCTAGTGACACTGAGATAGGGGTGAGGCAAAGAAGGGGATCCAGGCATTCCAGGCCCTCGACCTCCTGACTCAGAGTAGCCCCTTTTTCTAGCAGCTTTAGACTCTTGAAGACTGAGGCAGGGAGGGGGGCCTTGTGAACTGGAATAAAGTGGGGTCTGGGAACAGTGAAAGGTGTGAAAAACAAGCATCCTCTCCACTTCCCTCTGACCAAGGATGAGGAGCAGGGGTAGTTGACCCTACAGCCTAATAATCCCCAATACTTGTTGTCACTGTCCTCCTCCCTTCCAGCCAAGAACTGGAACTGTGCACAATACAGAGAAAGGATAGTAATAGAAAACGGAGTGTGACACACCTCCTACCCCCCACCCGGTCTCCTGTGCCATGTTGTTTTAAGGGGGGGGCAACGACCAGTTTAACACTCACCACCCATACTCACAAGGCCTTTCCACAAGCCCTTGGCCATTCAACTCAGATAAAGGTAGGGTGCCTGCTGAATCTGCAGGGACCCCTGGTGACACCCTGAGGGGAAGGGCACGCTCAGAAAGAGAAAGGGCCTAAATTCTAAAATCTCTAATCCAAAAGGATGTGGGAGTTCCTAGGGGCTCCAGGAGTACTCACTCCACCCCTCGCCCCCAACCGGAGGGATAATAAAACCCTTGACTCAGGTACCAGGTTACAAAGCTTGCTCGAGGCACAAGAAAAGGGTCTAAGTCGGGGGCCTTAGGGAGAGGGGAGGGGTTGCTGGCTACTTTTGTTCTGGGGCGAAAGGAGAGGATTTAGGTAGCATTCAGAGGAAGACAGTAGTGATTTCATTTAGGCCCCGCGGTTCAGAGTAGATGCTGAGTCTTCTCTAGCAAAATAAAGCGTCTGAATCTCATTACTGCAATTGTCCCATTTTAGGAAAATCAGAATCATTTCTTGGGAGTACATTACACACACACACACACACACACACACACACACACACACACACACACACAACTTAAATAAAGGGGAGAGTCCCTTCCCAGCTCCGCAAAACTCACCCTGCGGGATCCAGGTAAGGGACGGAGGCGGGGCGCCTGGCGGCCGTGGGCCCTGAGGGGTTAACCGCGGCGCCCCGGAGCATGCCGGGAGTCGTAGTCCCCGCGCTCCCGCGGGCTCCAGGAAACGCCCCTCTAGCTCGAAAAGGAAGCTGGGAGGCGACTTCCGGCCGGTGGCTGCGGTTAGTGACTGCTGTTCTTTTAGGCGCGATTCTTGTCCCGGAACTGAAAGGCAATTAGCAATTTACAGTCCCCACCCCTGGCCCTAAAACGGTGCGGGGCTCCTCAGGGTATGTCCTTTGCTCAGCCCCGAGTTCTCCGTTTAGTGTGGGCGGGAATATTTTCCTGGCAAGAGAACTCGGACTCAAGGGAAGGGTTGGAGCCGCAGCTGCAGCAGGCCGGTTAGAGGTCAGCTTGTAGGAAGCACTTACTGGCTGGGGAGAGTGGTGCGGTCCCTTTAGCTTCCGCTTACTGTTTGGTAGAGAGTGAACAGAGGACACTGAGTTGCTGTGTGACTTGGAACACTAACCCCAAAGTTTTTATTTTTTGAAATGAGATGGCAGTTGAAGTAAATGTTAAGATTTGGAATTAAGCCCATCATCTGCCCCAGTCTCACCTAGTCGAAGTTTCTCCCTACTGCGGCTTCATAGGTGCCAGCCACCCTGCCGGGACCTCACGGGTCCCCTTGGAACTGCAGGCGAGCTTCTCCAGCCCTTTGCTCAGACACCTCTGCGCAGCGTTGGGCAGCTTCTTCCCCCAGACTTTTACCAAAGGTCTCTTCTGTGCCGGCAGGGAGGCAGCCCGGCCAGGCCCACCTTCACGCACTGGGTCCCTCAATTCCCTGTCAAGCATGTCCTGTTGGAGGCTGGGCTACCTGGTCATGCAGTCAGTGGATGGAGGTCAGGAAGGCTGAGCCATTAAGTTAACTTTATGGGCAGAAACGGATGTTTGTTAGTTGGAGAAAGCTTCTCAGAAGACTAGTAGTGGGTTGTAAACAGAAATAAGGATGATGAGAAGTTAGCGACCATTCCTGGAGGCCTCCACAAAGCAGGTACTGCATGAGGGGCTCAGTTATCTCAGAGAAGCAGCACAGGGGGTGCTAAAGACTTTGCGCTCTTCAGAGCAGCCTGCTTAGAGAGGAATCCAGGTTCTGTCACGTGTTTACTGGCAACGTCTAGCAGTTGTTATCTCTATGTGCTTCAGTTCCCTCATCTGTGAAATTAGGATAATGGTATCTACCCCATAGGGCTGTGGGGAGAATTAAATGTGTTAATATTTGTAAAACAGAATGGGCCTGGCACAGAGTAAGTGGTATATAAATGTCTGGTAGATTTCCTTTAATCTTCCCAACATATGAGCTAGCTGGTATTTCCTCTATTTTATATTCAGGAGGTTGTGTGGGTTTTGGGTTCATGGTGACCCAGAAGTTCAGGACATAACAAAAGGGATCTGTTCTCTAATTCTCTTGCCACTGTTTCCCATGTGTTAGCTCCTTCCTTGGGTCCCCTCCTGGAGCCAGATGTGGCTTAGCTGCGCAACCATGACAGCTTTATACCACAAGAGGAAGTGAGTGAGCTTCTCTTGACCATTGGAGTCAGTTCTTAGACTTCACTCTGACTAAACCAACTTAGAAAAATGCCTGTCCACCCTCAAACATTATAATCACTATGGCCAGGGAAATATCATGCCCTGATTGGCTTAGGCATGGATTATTGCCCACCCTTGTGGCCAACTCATAGCATGTCCTTGCCACTGAAGGTGAATTGAAGTTCATCCAAATGGGGAGGAGTGGAAAGGACATTGGGGAGGAAACCAACAATGTCTACCACAATGAGGAACTCTGATGCTAATTATCGAGCGACCTACAATGTACATTGAAGATGCCAGGATGATAGCAGTATTTAGGATGCCATACCCTTCAGTAATATTGAGTGTCCATGTATTTAGTGAATGACAGAGTTGAAAGAAGGTAGAGACAGTTATCAGATTGGCATTATCTCTAAAGGAGCTGAAATTTTTACTGCTCTGAGAATAACGATGGGGAAGCAGCATTGGGGTGCAAAAAGAATGCAAACCCCGCCTCCCAATATAAATCTGTGGGGTTCAGGAGAAGGAGTAGTCTCCCCTGGAAGATGTTCCAGGTGCATGAGGTCTCTTGGGAGGTGAGCCAAGTTTTAGGAGAGGCCAGAGTGAGCTTTGTATGAACAAAGGTAAAGAATTATAAAGGATAGAGTGGGTGGGAAGTGTTATTTAGAACTAGGTTTGCAGAGAGCACAGTGGGAAGGTTTGCGATGGAGGGGAACAGTGGAGATTGTATCAGGGCCCTTCAGCTGCTCTCTTCCCTCCCTTTTCTTCTTTACACCTTTCTTACGTTCACTTATGTGGAATACTCTGCTTGCCTGGTCACCCTACTCCTACCTAGACTTTAGTTTCTTTTTTCTTTTTTTTTAATCCTCACCCAAGGATATGTTTTTTTATTGATTTTAGAGAGGGACATCGATGTGAGAGGGAAACATTGATGTGAAAGAGAAACATCAATCAGTTTCCTCCTATACTCGCCTCAACTGAGGATCGAACCCACAGCCTAGGTATGTGCCCTGACCAGTAATGGAACCCACAGCCTTTATGGTGTATGAGATGATGCTCCAACCAACTGAGCCACCCAGCCAGGACTTTAGTTCTTTTTTAATTTAAAAACTTTATTTTTTCAATAGATAATATGTGGTACAAAATTCAAAGGTACAAAAAGTATACAGTGAAAAGTAATTCCCACCCCTCTTCCCAGAGGCAACCAAAGCTGCCAGGTTTCTATGGATCCTCCCAGAGATATCCTAGGCATATGCATGCAGATGTGTTTAATATAAAATTGTGTAAGCGTGTACAGATACACACACACACACAAACACACAGACACATTTTTCTCCATCTCCTTCCTAGTTCTTTCCCCCCCCCCAAATGAGGTATAATTGACACAGTAGTTTCAGGTTTACAATATAACAATTTGATATTTATTACAAAATGATCACCACATTGTGAAAAGACCACTGCAGTAAGTCTAGTTAATAGTCACCTGGCCGGGTGTGGCTCAGCGGTTGAGCGTCGACCTAGGATCCAGGCAATCCAGGTTCGATTCCCAGTCAGGGCACATGCCCGGGTTGCGGGCTCAACCAATGACTCTCTCATCATTGATGTTTCTGTCTCTCTCTCCCTCTCCTTTCTTCTCTCTGAAATCAATAGATATTTAAAAAAAAAAAAAAAAATCCATCACCATATGAAATTACAAAAAAATTTATTTTCTTGTGAGGAGAGGTTTTAAAATCTAGTCTCAACAATTTTCAAATATGCAGTACAGTATTATTAACTGTTGTCACTATGCTATACATTACATCCCCAGGACTTATTTTATAACTAGAAGTTTATATCTTTTGACCCCCTTAACCCATTTTACCCATCCCCACTCTTTTACCCCCTGCCTCTGACCACCAATCTGTTCTCTGTATCTGAGCTCCTTTTTTTAAAGATTTTTTATTGATTTGTTTTAGAGAAAGAGGAAGGGAGAGAGAGAGAAAGAAACATTTACCAGCTGCCTCCTGCACCCCCCCTAATGGGGATCGAGCCCACAACCCAGGCATGTGCCCTGACTGGGAATTGAACCTGCAACCTTTTGGTGCATGGGATGATGTCCAATCCACTGAGCAACACTGGCCAGAGCAATTTTTTTTTTTTTATAAGATTCTATATGTAGCCCTAGCCAAGTAGTTCAGTTGGTTGGAGCATCATCCTGCTATACCAAGGTTTTGGGATTTGATCCCTGGTCAGGGAATGTACAAGAATCAACCAGTGACTCTCCTTCTCCCTCCTAGGAGCACACCTGTGCGTTTCCCTTTCCCTTCCACAGGCGTACATCTCCTAAACTCTAAGAGAATCCACCAGGTTTGCAACCAGGGAACAGTGGGCAGCAGCAGCTCATCCTGGGCTAACCCCCTGACCCAGTCCCCAAGGCCCACTTTTCTCTGACTTCCTGGTGAGCCAAAGCAGCCCAGCCTAGGCTCATTTCCCACCTAGTCCCTCTTCTGCTGCTGCTTCTATCCTAGGCCCTTCCTTGTTTCACTGTCCCCAGCTTTAATAAATGTCCTCTAAAAATAAAAATATAAAAAGAATCAACCAGTGAGTGCATGGATGGGTGGAGCAACAAATTGATGTTTCTTTCTCCCTCTCTCTCTCTAAAATAAACAAATAAATAATTTTATAGAAAAGATTCTACATATAAGTGAGATCGTAAGCTATTTGTCTTTCTCTGACTACATTTTACTTAGCATAATGCCCTCAAGGTCCAACCATGTTGTCGCTAATGGCAAGATTTCCTTTTTTATGGCTGAATAATATTAGTTTGTGTGTATGTGTGTGGTGTGTATATATATACACATCTTCATTCATTCATTCATTGATGAACACAGGTTGCTTCTGTCTTGGCTATTGTAAATAATGCTGCAGTAAAGGTGGGAGTACAGATGTCTTTTCAAATTATAGTGTTTTCATTTTCTTTGGGTACATATCCAGAAGTGGAATTGTTGGATTCCATGGTAGTTCTGTTTTTAATTTCTTGAGGAAACTCCATATTGTTTTTCATAGTTGCTGTACCAATTTACATTCTCATCAATAATACACAAAGGTTCCCTTTTCTCCACATTCTCACCAACACTTACTTCTTGACTTTCTAAATATTTTTTAAGGGGGGAAGGGAGAGAGAAACGTTGCTTTGATGTGCCGTTTAATTATGCATTCATTGGTTGATTCTTGTATGTGTCCTGACCGGGGATGGAACCTGCAACATTGGCGTATTGAAACAGTGCTCTAATCAAATGAACTACGTGGCCAGGTCTCTTCTTGACTTTTTTTTTTTTTAAACTAATAGACTTTATTTTTAATTTTTAAT